TCACAGAACACACCCATCTAAATGCACGTATGCTGTTTAAGATGGCATCAATTTCTCACATAACTAGTGAAACAAAAGCTGACCCCTAACTGAAGCTCAGACAAGAAATGTTGAGAAATATTTCTCTTTTTTTCTTTTTGTATTAACTGGTGGCTTATTTTCTGCACTTATTGTTCTCACTTTAAAAACAGGAATCTTAGTCTACAGAAAGTCCTCATCTTTTCTTTCTTATGGTGTAATATTCCAGCTTTAAAGCAAAATGCTTTTAAGCCAAACTTGTTCCCCCAATCCTTATTCACAAGGGTAAGTACAGACTCCTGTGACTTCATTTTATACCTCTAAACTCTTAGAAACCAGTGACTAGAATTTCTCAGGCTTGTATGAACATGGGATTAGGGTCCAGATTTCTTCCATTTATTCCCCATGGTGCATCCATGCTCTTTACTGTGGAATATATTTACAGCTCTTTAACAGTTTGATTTCCTAGTGAGCAGAAGCAGCCTGTTTAATCCCGTTTCAGGCTCTCCTCAGCTTTCTGCAGTTTGCTCCAGCTTGCAGTGTCCGTTAAGGGTTAAGCAGGTTCTGCTGATTCACGGAGGTAGGTGAGTCACTCCTGCAGGGCTGAGGGGAAGTGGCTGTCTAGAGGGAGCCCATTCTCACAATGTGGACTCAGAGCAGCCCATTGTGAACGCTGGGCTCCACTGAAAGAGCCGGAAAGGCTCTGCAGTTAAAACTGGGGATTATCAGCACTGCAGGCAGGCGGGTTAAAGGCTGTGCAGGGAGCAGGCCGCGCGCCTGGCGCTGCCGGAGCAGAGGTGGGGTAGGAAGCCTGGAGGCTGCAGGAGGAAGCCTGGAATTTGCTGCATTGGTAAAGCCGTGTCTGGGCTGTCCTTGAAAGCAGTTGAGGAAACGCACGGGCACGGCTCCGTTCCTTTCGGAGCTTTTTGTTAACATATCACATCCATGAATCACATTCCTGAAGGCTCCTAAGTAATTTCTGAAGTGATGGTCCACAAAATTCAGACTTCTTTAAAGTGCACTTGGACATGTGTATGTTTTTGTTTGTTTTGTCCTTCATTACTTATCTATACCAAATGTACTAAGGTATGCAGAAGGAACTGAATTATTTAATATCCTTATGAGCTTTACTTTTTCCCAGTTGTGCATCAGTTGGTAACTGGTGTGTAACTTTTGTCTTACTATTGAGAAAAATCTTTCTTTTTTTTCCTTTTTTTTTGGGGCGGGGGGGGGGCGGGGGGGACTACAAGTTATTTCCAGTCATCTTGAGGTGTTTCTGCTCGGCAAACCTCTGCAGGTAATCCTCTTGAAAGCCTCTTGTTGCACTGAGGCTCTGCCCCTTCTGTACTGGTAGTCAGTCTAATGATATAAGCACCAACATGTACTTAAATCCAAGCAAAATCTATTTATTACTGCCTCGGGGTTCTGTCACTTGCTTTTTGATTATCTTTAACGCACTTTTTTGGCTCTTATTATTGTGACCAAGTAAAAGTTACTCTATTCATTAAATAGGTCTGCTACAGTTGGACTCCTTGAATCAGCTTCCAAGCAAGCTGCACCTGTCCATTATGAAAAACAATAGTGAGATTTGATGCATTGTTCCTTGGCTTATGGACATCCTGTGTCATTCCTAAACATGCGTAAGTTTGCCTAAAACTATCAAGGTCAAGGCCATTGCTCCTGTTGTCCCTGTCTCGGTGATCCAGTGGCTTGTGCTGACCTTTGATCTAACTCATTGACTTTAATTTCTAATGAAATAAAGGCCCTCTGCCAGGTTCAGATTGTCTTTTATGTAATAAATTTCTCAGTAGAACTACGCCACCTTCTAAATGTAAATGATAAACTTGATAAGTTATTTACTTCCTGCCACTCTGACCCTCTCCTCCTCTCCACATCCTGAGGAAAAAAATAGAGGAATCCAGCAATAGAGCAAAAAATGAAGGCTTAGTTTGGAAAAGAGTGTGAGAATTTCAAAATTGAGGTCAGCAGTGAAAAACACTAACAGGAAGAAGCCTAGAAATGCATACAACAATTCCTGTCAATCTCTTCAGGGCACTGAAAAGTGTTACAATAGCTGACACAACAGCTGCACTTTTTCACCTCATTTTTTTTTCCTAGTTTTGAGGAAATTGTGTTGTAGAAATTCACAATTTTGGCTGATGGGTATGATCCCCTTATGCTGAGTCAAATACCGTTTCCCAATGAAATTAAGAGTATTTTCCCTGATTTCTACTTGTGAGCAACTTCTTGCAGAGGTATCTTTGTTAATCAGTAATTAATTTGTAGGCCCAGCTTTGAGCTACATAGTCCTTCGTCTTTGTTTTTCATAAATTCCTTTTTGTTTTTTCATATAATCACAGCTTAAATATGAGAACTTATTTTTCCGTTTAGGAAATAAATCTTAGACATGTTTTGTGTTTCCTGATGTGGTTCAAATTTTGCAACCAAACTTAAATAACCAAAAATCAAATATTCTGCTCCATTAACTGCAAGTGCCATAACCCATAAATGTACCTATAAAGACTGGATAACCAGGTTCATTTCCTCTATAGTTGCAGTAAGTGCCTGTAGGGATTGCTTCATGGCCAGAATTACGAATATAGCGAGATAACATAATGTTATTGCTGCAATAAAGTTACTTGCTAATGTAGCAGTAACATAACCCATTGCTCTCTTTGATTCCAAGACTTATGTGTCACAGCCTTTCTAAATATCTTTACCTGACCTGTGGAACAATGAGGAAGACTGTGTGTTCCTGGTAATTTTTCAGACATGGAGCTACCTATTCTCATTTCTGATATTGCAACTAGATTTTAGACTGATAATGGATGAAATAGTTCTTAAAAACACTAGGGGAAATAATTTCTATATTGCTAAACATCCTGTGCCTTTTGAAGGAGGGAGGAGGAAGAAACTTACCATACTGTCTCCTTTCCTGACCCTTTGTTCCTTGCAAACTTGATTTGCTTGTGCTGTTTATCTTAACTTCTTGTGCAATCTTTCCTCAAGCCTCTTGTGTCAAAATACCCTAGTTTGAGACAATGGTTTAAACTGATCAAAACACATCAGAAAAAAAAACCCTTTCAGTCATAACAGTCTTTTAGCTCACAGATGAAGTCTATAACAATAATTTTGAACTTCTAAACAACTCAAATTTCACTGTGGAACTACTGAGCAGATAAGGCCTGAAGTGTGACTGGATAATAATCATGGAACCATGATTATTCACTCTTCCCCTTTTGAAGGGGAATTCCTAAAACACAAATAACTGCGTGAAAATTGATCAAATAAGCCAAACTGAGTCACTGGATTGTATCCTGTGCTCTGCAAGAAGAATACTGTTAAAATGTTCTGTCTTAATGCCAAGCATATTTTTAATAGGAAAATTGGACATATCTACTGTACCTGCTTTCTCTTCCTACCCTTCCCTCCCGCATGGTCCCCTGGCTGCCTCGATTTTCATTCTCCTGCATATTTAAAAATTCATCTATACTACTGAGCTATCAGTATAGCTCCTAATTTACACAGGTAATATTTCTGCATAAAATAGGATAGATTCAATTCTTACGTTGTGTTCTCATAGTTTTCCTACTGCTAACAAACAGCCAAACTGTTGTTGGGGGATTATTTGTTTGGTTTTGGAAGGTGTATGAGAAATTAACCTTGCTTATGTATAAGGTGCCATCAAATTTGTCAGAATTCATTGCAATAAAGCTACAATCACTGCCAGCTATTACTTCAGCTATAGTTGAACAATTGTGAACTTAGCTCTAGTACTCACTTTCTTCATGTTCAGTTACAAAATTACTTGAATCTTGTCAAGAAGTCTATTTGCCCTTTCAGTTCTCACGTGCCAGAACTCCTTTGCAAACAGCTGCTCCAGAGGGATCTTAGTGCTTCTGTTCCTGCTCTGAACTAAAGTGAAGAGGTAAATTAAATGAGGAAGAAAATAACAGCAAGAGTGACACCCAGTGTCTGCTGTCCTCCAACTGAAGCCTAGCAGACTTACTTCTGCATTTACCTTTGTTGTAATTAAACATTTAAAATGAGACTCCCTAATAGGGCAAGAATTCTATATAGTCACCTTATTAGCCACCAGGCAAATGCCTTCAATACTTCAGCTATCATTCTACTTGCTTGCTCACCTTGTAGTTAAAAGCTCAAAGGCCTGGCACAGAAAAGCACTAGGCTGTAAAGAGAAACAGTGGTATTTGTCCACCTCCCAAGGGAAAAGTCCTGGAGACTGTCTGGGTTTTTGTTTGTTTGTTTTGCTTTGGTGCATACCTATTTAATACTGAGTGTGATTATTTCTATGGAAGAAAACCTATATTGTGAGGGGGAAGAAATTCCAAAAGCTCTCAATATGAACTGAAACTGAAAAAGCTAACAGAAGCTTTTATTTTTCCCGATTCTATTGCGTTATTGTGTAGAAGCTCTCACACAAGTCTTTATAAAAGCAGAAAAGTCATAAATCTGTTCTGTTTGAAGCATATGGGTGTTTGGTTGTACTGCACCGTGCTATTGCAATCCCTTTTTTACCCATAACTAGTTCAGTGCAGCTCTCTTTGCAGCCTCCTGCTTCACAGTGGCACCACCTTGTGGCAGTGGTAAAATTTATTGAAAGTTTCTTAAAAATTCTATAATCTATTTATTATGTTATATTCCCAGACTTTGCATCTGAAAACTAACAGCAGTTCTCTTCCCAAAAAATCTCAAAATAATTTATAATAAATATACCTTCTGTTTTTAATTAACAGACGTACCCAAAAAATATTTATTAAATATATTAAATAGAAGTTTTACCTGGCCAGACAAATGCATTCAGTTCTGATTTAGCTTTTATGGTCTAACACACTCAAGCACTACTCACAAAACTGAGGAATAGTTACAGTCTTATATAGTTAGGGAAGTAGATGCAAGAAGATCTTCCAGTGTGGTGTACTTGCAGTAACGTCCTGGTTGAGAATATTTTTTTAAAAAAATCACAGCGTGGTATAACTGGAGATGACCTGTTCCAGAGCCGTGAAGCTGTCCAGGAAGTCGTCCTCTTCGATCCCATATTTAATGTACTGGTGAATATAGGCTCTGTGGGTTGAAGTCACATCAGACATGAAGAACATCAGAAATGAAATCAGATTGTATGGTTAACATAATATCAAGAAAAATCTGTTTCCAGTCCATAATCACACTAGTTAGTTTATACTGTTCTCTCCTGAGTTTAGTTTTGTAATTCATAAGGGCCTTATAAAACAAACAAACAAAAAAGCTAAAAGTTTTGAACTGACCCAAGATTTTTTTTTTTTCCTGAAAGGTGCAGCATGTCACCTTTAGAAACTCTGTGATTACTAGAAGAGTTTCTATGTACTATTTTTGGAATTGTCATTCTGGAATGTAAAAGTCTAACTTCTAAGAGCTTTCGCACTGAGGAAATTGTCCAAGTGACAGCAATAGAACATGGGGCCTTGCGTGTCCACAGAACATGAATGCTGTTCTGTGTTCCTCACTCCACCGCTGTAGTTCAAGAATAGATGCTTCCTCTAAAGTGTAGGAAAAGTCTCCATGCTTATTCACCTTTGGTGAAGGAGAAAGCAATTTTCACAACGATCTCACAGCAAAGATAGTGGTAGCCACAAATAAAATATCATAAAATATCAGCTTTTCTTTTTTCTTACTTGGAAGCGAACATATTCCAAGCTTTTCCTACAAGCTTGTCAAGAGGTTTCAGCGTTAAATGCTCGTGGTGTTTTCCACAGGTTAAAAGCGTCCTGGGGGTTTAGCCACGATGTATATAGTGCTGGATCTTGGAAACTTCCTGCAGCAGAAACAGAACAGACCTTTTTGACAACTGTAAAGTTACAAAAGCTACTGCATCTTGAATTCAGTAGTCCTGTGTGGCTTCATAAATGTAGGTGCCTGACTACTGTTTTTGGCAGATCAGTTCAGGCCTTTAAAAAAATCTGGAAACTGGTGAGCCTGTTTAAAAGGTAACTGTTTTTAAATTGATTAATTAGATTATCTAGCAGAGTACTTTTGTATTGCTACTTTCACATGCAAGCTATGTTCGTTACTCCAAAAGCAACTAAATCTATTTATAGACAAGTCACATATATAGCCAAGTCTGTATATAGTCACATCAACCTCAGTCTCTTCCTCCTTCTCTGAAGTGCTTCAGGAAACACACATATCTTAGTTGTAAGTACAACAACCCAGAGTGATTATATAAGATGGCCTTGAACATTACAATGTGTTTGTAGATGGAACATTTACCTTCCTGGTGAAATATGTGGCCTTGCTTTTTTTTTTTTTTTTCCCCCACTTTCAGCAGAAAACAGTGTCGCAAAGAAAGCAGTAGGATGCGAAACAGGAATTACTGAGTGTTGAGTTTTTCCTTCTCACCTATGTCTGCACTTTGCGTATCTTTTCCTCGCAGGATAACCAGGTTGGCAATGGAAGTATTGAAATGCAGTGGTTTGCTTGTGGAATGTCTGGAGGGGATGGAGGAGCCTGGACATGGTGGTCTTACCTGCCAATTGATACCTAAGAAGAGGTTTTGGCAACAAAAAAGGGATAAGAGGAAATTAGTATTTCACGAAATATGGATTCAGACTAGCTGAAGAGTGAAATGTTAACTACTACTGTGCCACAAGCTAAGATCATGGGTTTGTAGTTTCTGTCTGTTAATTAAGCAACAGTTTTGGGTGAGAAACTGAGCTTATCCAGTAGTGTTTATGAAGTCTGGTGTGGTAGTCACTAGTCTCAGCAGAGAAAATGTATGTTGTTTCTATAGTTAGCAATTTACTATCCCATTCTTTGCATAACTGGAAACTATACTGAACTCTCTGTGTAAATGATATGGGAAGGCTAAGCACATGACTTCTATTAGTAGAAGATGTAACAAAAATAAGCCTAGAAGAACTAGCAATCCAAAGAATGTTCCAAAGGAATGATGCAAATTAACGGCACAGTCAAAAAGTGTTGGTTTGTTTTTCATATTTTCAATAGTTATAATTAACTGAGATGTCTGGGAGCAAAAACAGGAGCAGGCTTAGAGCTCCTGTGGCAGCTGAGTGAATAGCTAAAGGAGCAGCTGGCTAAGTAGAGACAAATTCCAGCTGTCTGAGAGCAGCAGCTCTTTTCTGAACTGACTGAGGCTAGTCACTGAGTGCTATAAAGCAATAAGCTTTATGTCAGCTGTAAAAATTTAAATAGTGATGGTTACCAAAGACCAGCAAATACTTTTTACCTTCCTCCATTGTAGCATTAGCAATGAGCATCTGTCTTAAATGTTTAATGAGCCCAGGCCAACTGAATGTGCTGTATGCTAGGGAGTTTTCAGGCATCTGAGGTATGTTACGAAGACCCAACATCTTGAATTCAGGATGTGGAACTAAGGTCTCCATTAAGTCCCCTGCAAAAAGAAGTAACAACTGCTCAATTTGGAAAAAACACCTCATAGGTTAGTTAATATGGGACAAGAGAATGAGAATTTTACATACATCTAATAATTTAAGGTAAGAAGCAATGCATTTTGAGTCACAAAACTGACTGCAAAAGCGACTGCAAAATTCCTCTGAAATACGCATCAGTGTAAGTGTGATAGTCACTCAAAAAAGGGGAATAAGCTTCCTTTCTTTTTCCTTTTTTTTCTCTTTTTTTTTTTTTGGAACGAACGAAACTGGAAGTAGGGGTTAAACTCCCGACTCTGCTACCAAACTGGGGCTGAGTTTCTAAGATGTTTAATCTTTCGCTTCTATTATCATATGCTAAAGATTGGGTACTATCTAAGAAGACTAGAGAAGTTCGGGTGACAAAATGAGGTCGTTATAGAGCTGTGTGAGAACATGTTAGGAATTATAATATAATTAAATACCTAATGGGCTTCTGCTATAGTGTAAGGCACTTTCTGCTGTGTAAACGGGCTGGAAAACACTTCCCAGCTGATGTGCAATGACTTGATTTACATCCCTGAAAGAGATCTGTTTAATATTCAGGAGTTGAGCACAAATCTTGTGAACAACATCATTTTCATGAACAAGAAGGGCATCTGATGAGCGGTACAGATGTGACAGAGTCAGAATGGAGTTGTAGTTTTGAACGATGACCTGGAAGCAGAAAACCATACACAAAACGAGAGTCAAACAACTCGATCTCATTCTAGTTTATACTACTCTGGTGACTATCCTTCCTGTAGTTATGATTTAGGAACTGACTCATTCTCTTCAAAGTTATATTAGCAGCTAGCATAGTTTTCAGGGTCAGAGAGAAAGACTTGTGAAAGTCATACGATCCATCTCAGTTCATCCAAACACGCTAAAAGAAAATCTCTCGGAACGGTCTGTAGTACTCAGACACTATCATAACTACATAGCGTTTCGTACAATGTAACATTTCTAATTAGCTAGCAGAGCTTCTGAAGATACTCCATTAAGACTTGGCAATACAAGAGCTAACGTAATGTCTTATTATTAGCTTGAGATTTTAGTGACCTTTTGATAGTTTTGAAGTATTTTTGTGTGATGCCATCTGTACCGGCTGTTAGGCAAACAATTCATTAGCTGCATTGCCTTCTGTCATGTTAAATTTACAAAAGGTACTGCTTTCTCTTCTCTAGTCTCTTTCAGTTGTTGACATTCTATGTTTTACTTCCAGAAAGTAGTCTATTTACATCGCTTTACTTCTGTAATCACAAAGATTTTGATATTCTATTTTGTAGAATATCTCAAGGACACGTGACATTCACCTCACCAGTTCCATATGGCCAGATAACATGGTTTAGTATAAATGAGGCTGGAAAAGCATCCCTTAAACACTGGGTCACAAATGCTCCCAGGCCAGATCCTGTCCCACCAGCCATGCTCATTATTGTAACAAATCCACTGAGCCGGTCGCATTTCTCTGCTTCTTTTTGTACCAGATTCATGATCACATCTTTGTGTTTAGGCCCGTGAACAGAGTAACTGTTGAATAAGAGAAAAGGTAACAAGACATGGCAGATTATATTTAAATAAAAACAATAACGTCAACCAATTCATAAAGCACACTTTTTTAGTTGTACAACCTACTTGATAGAATTGCCAATTCTATTTGTTAGAAACAATACCCTGCTGTGATGTTTATCTTGTAAAAGAAAAAAAACAGCTGTTTATAAAACGTGCTGGTTGTTTTCTGTTTTTAAATGTATTCATCACTTGTTCTAATACAGTCTTCACTGCAAAAGCCAGCTTCGCACTGCAAAAAGCAGCCGGTTAGACTGCTGCTCTATTGTAAAAATAAAACAAGTTAATGTTACACTCTGCACAGTTACGTTACCAAAGCCTGAAACAACTGTTCGTACCCATTTGCCCAGTTGTTCCCAGAGCCCTGTTTCTGGCAAAACTGCGACCGATTATCGTACTTCCAGTAGCCAGACCTGGCAGCTACTGCTAAGGTTTGGCTGATTACTTTGGGTTCCATGTCAACAAGCACAGCCCGGGCAACAGGTACTGGAAAGGAAGAAAAAGATTAAGTTAGAATAATTTGCCAATCTTAGAACTTGTTTACAGAAGATAGAAAGACTTGTACCAAGGCCCAAATTGCATTCCTCCCACCCACATAAACTGAACTACTAGCTTCAATGGGACAGTAAAGTGTGCATTATTTCTATGAAATAATCTCTTATCTATGAAATAAGACTGTGGGAAACAAACGTCCTTAAATTCTTTACCTCCAGCTTTCTCCTCACTGAAGAAGCGTTCTTTGCAAGCATCCTGGTAGGATTCATTCTCCTTCTTGGAACACAATCCATGCTTGCCATGGACATCACTGCAGATAGCGTTAAACAGCTCATGCCCAATTTGATTACCACACTGACCAAGCTGAACTGTGATAATTGACATCCTTGCTCACTTTGTATTTAACCCTATAGTGGAAACATAAAGGAAAAAGAAAAGAATCATGAAGTTGTCAGGTAGGTTCCTGATCAGTTCTGTAACTTAGGCTAACTAACTCTAGTGAGGAAAATGCTGCAATATAACTGGCTGTTCCTGAGGAAACACTTCTGCCTGCACATTAGCAGTGTCAGAGGAACGCTGGTGACCGTTGAAAGGAAGGCACTGTTTACTGTTGCTATATATGTAAACAGAACCAAAACCCCATGGCAAGCAGAGTCTCCATTTTCTTAGTTTTGCTTAATAGAGCAGAGTTAAAAAAAAAAAAAAGGGCTAATGAAAAATCCAGCAAAGCCCCCAAGGCTTTGGAAACAGAACAAATGTACTAAGTATTAGATGCCTTGAGAAACATGAGGCCTGTTTGCAAACCAAGCTGATGCCCCATCTTCTACAGCATGGGCCAGATGCCAAAATAACAGCTGAAGCAACGGAAGGTTCCCGGGAGTGTCCTCCTTCCTCTGACCACAGAGACAAGATTTTCATATGATACCGGTACCTGCGCAACCACTTTCCCCACTCAGTTTTTGCAGTAATGCTGGTTTCTCACTTTTCTATTCTTTTTTTTTCCCCTCATTTCACATGAGGTCAAGGTAACTATTTGAAGTCACATCATTATTCTGGGCTGCTATTTTCCATTATTTCCCCAGCTGGGTCACAGTACATCTGTCACAGCCTTCCTGCGATAGTCACCAGCGTCAAAACTCGGGCCTGCTGCACTTTGCAGGCAAGTACATGCTATTATGATTATTATTATTATCTTTTTCCTTTCTGTGCTGGATTTCAGCTTTTCTGCTAGTCCGCACCTTGCTGCCTAAAGCCAGGCTGTGTGCCAGGGTCACTGCAGGGAACAAACACAGCTGTACTTTATAAAAAAAAAAAAAAAAAAAAAAAGGCCCTGGTCCAACTTGATGGGACCGCACGTCGGTGCGCGGCCACCTCCCCACCCCCAAGGCCGTTACCTCACGCCACAGGCCGCCATGTTGCGCCGCTGCCCACCTCGTTCTGCTCCCTCTCCCCTTCCCAAACCCCTTCAACCTGGACGTTCCCAGCCCACCCGGGTGCTGCACCCCGCCCGGGCAGGCCGAGCCGCCCCTGATCCCGATCCCGATCGCGGTCCCGTTCCCCACTCCAGCTCAGTGCTGACCTCGACGCCACTCGCTGAGGCGCACCCCCGCCCGCAGGGCGCATGCGCGAGCCCCTTCCCCGCGAGCCCTCCGCGCCGGCCCGAGACGCGCCTTCGAACAACCCGCTCCGCGCATGCTCAGATGGAACTTCGGGCAGCGCCGGGCAAGGGGGCAGGCTCGAGGGCTTCAGGGAACATAGTGCGCATGCTCGAAGCCGGAGGCTTCGCTGCGCCCTCTGCGCACGCTCCATGCCAGGAGCAAGGCGGGAGGGGCGAGCAT